AACCCCACCCGCACGCCCACCACCCCAGAGGAGAGGAGACAGACCCGCCCCGAGGGCTCTCTTCCTCTCATTTTCTGCCGTTGGTCTGTACTAGGAGGGGACTCCGAGCCCCCAGACAGCACGGGGCGGGTCCTGCCAGGCCCTCCGAGGCCCTTTCGGTCTCTGGCGGGTATGTTTCCCCGGTGAATGGCCAGCTCGGGCGGCAGATATGGAGGGCAGGGGGCCCAGAGAAGACGGAGCCTGAGGCCAGGCCTGTGCGCACCAGGCTCCGGGCGCTTCCTGGCACCCGGCGAGAGCTGGATTCCGGAAGCAGATGGAAGGGGGTGTGCAGCCTGCTCTCCTCGGTATGAAGACCAGGACCGCAGTAAGTCCTCACGAGGACGTCCGTCTTGGTCAGCTCGAGCTGCTGTAATGAAGTACCGTGGGCGGGGCGGGGGGGGAGGTTATAAACAGTGGGAACGGGTTCCCCACACTTGGGGAGACTGGACGTCTGAGACCAGGGACCAGCGGGGCTGGGCTCGGGTGAGAGCCGTCTGGCAGATTGTGGACGGCTGCCTTCTCGCCGGACCCTCGCGTGGAGGAGGTGGGGACAGGACGGGGCGGGGAGTAGGGGACTCCGTTTCACTTAGTTACCTGCTGACGTCCCCGTCTCTGCTTGCAGTCGCGTTAGGGGTTGGGGCTTCAACACGAGAACTTGGGGCGGGGGCGGGGGGGACACAACTCTGTCCATAGCACGGAGTCTGTGGTGGCTCCCCCGCGGGTCCTTCGGCCTCAGGCTACCTATAAAGGTCGCCCTGCCCCCTACATCAAGGGACGGCACGCTTCCTGTAAAGGGCCCCACAAGGTCTGTGTGGGACGGCCCCACCACCCTGCCGTCAGAGCGCCCGCACAGCCGTGGCCGCAGCCGCGTGCCAGGAAAACTTTATTCACGCACAGGTGGGGGGCTGCGTTTGCCCACCCTCGCCTTAAGGGACACACCTGCCCAATAAAGAGATTTAGGAAACTAAGCAGCTTGGTCGGCGGGTCGTTGGGCCCCACGGTTGAAAGGGCCCCAGTAGGTGTTTGACGAACGTCCTTGGCTTGTTCTGAAGATTTTTGGTCGTGATGGCGGCTTCAGTGTACTTGGGATTGCGCGTAGCGTGACTCTTGAGATGACGGATCTCTCCTGAGGATGGTTCTGCCACTTAAATGGTGTCCTGGCCCGACGGGCGGACCTATCTCGTTGCCCAGGACTGTTGACCAGCCTGCTTACAGTTCTGGAGTCGAGCCCGGCTCTGTCTGGATTTCTCACTTCCTTGGGTGAGATCCCTCGGGGGTAGGGGGTGGGGCTGGCGGCTGCTGTCCCCACCAGCCTGGCCTTGGTCGGGGCAGGCTGGGCAGGCCTGTCCTCGGAGGGGTTCTGGTTTTGCGAGGGGGGGGGGGGCACTGTCTCTCCTCTGCTGTCGTTTCGCAGCACGCGTTTTGCCTGCGTTGCGGGAGGGCCACCGCACGTACCGCGTGAATTAGCTACAACCCGGCTCTGGGAGGCAGGCTGTCGGGCCCCTCTCGATGTGAGGCGTCGTCAGGGAACCAGGTTCCGCCCGCGGGTATGGGCGGTGTCCACCCTGCCCCAGCCCACACTGTGCCTCTTGGCTGCCTGCGGGCCGATGGAGGGTAGAAGGGCACAGGCCAAAGCCACGGGTGCCGGGCCCAGTGCGGGGCAGGGAGCCCAGGATCGGGGCGAGGCGCGGCAGCCTGTGCGTGGACGGGAGGCCGACCCCAAGGCAGGCAGGTCCAGGGTGGGGACCTGCAGGTCAGGCAGCTGTCTGGGAACAGACCGTTGGTGGAGGCTGGCAGTGGGGGGGACCCCGTGCCACAGTGAGTGTCTCCCCGCCTCCCCCACCCCAATTCCCGCCTCTCGCCTTCGCTTCCTCCTCGGATCCCAGATGGTCCCGCCTGGCACTGATGCAATCCCCAGCCACACTGCCTTGGCTGATTAGGGCAGGACAGGTGCCACTCAGCGAGCTAGTGACTGAGCCCTGCTCCGCACAGAGCCCCTCCACGCCCGGTTCTGGGGGCTGAGGGCTGTGGGCCCTGACCGTGGTACGGGAGGCCCTGGGGCGGGGCCTCGGACCCAGAGGGGGCCCCTCAGACCTCCTCCCCCGCATCGGCGCCCCATTTCTCATCGGAAACTAACAACACGGCCAGCCCGTGACAGCCGTGTGACAGCAAGCACGCTCTCTCTGTTGCCGGCGCCGACGGGGGGCCGCTAACTTGGGGAGCTGATGCGAGAGCAGCAGAGACCGTCTGCTTGAGTGACTCCAGCAGATCCTTGAACACGCGTGTCCCAGAGGGTTTGGGGGAGGTATGGGGGCCGGAGGGGGAGATCGAAAACGAATAGGGCCGTTGGCTCCTGCTCAGAGGCTGCCCGAAGCTCCTGCCCCAGCCCCCTCCCGGGTCACCCCGGCAACGCCGAGCCTCTGCGCGTGCTCCCCGCTGGCCACAACGAAACAGCGGTGTGTGATGGTCCCACGGGGGCCGTTGGGGGGCTGGCACGTTCAGCCCCAGGAAGTCGCTTGTGAGGAAGAGCTGAGGTCCCTTCGTTGGCCTTAGCAGCCTTGTCTCCCTGTGTGGTGGGCCGACGGGAGCCCGTGGGTCCGTGGCACCTGCTCCCGAGCCCGGCTGTTCCGCCGTGGAGGTGACGTGGCGCTGTCCTGAATCCCAGCGGCTGTCATCCCCTCCCTGGGTCCCGCTGCTTGCTCCCTGGATGCCCGTCTGCTCCGCGCTCCGCCCCCGCCGGTGGCCAGCCCCACCGTGGCCAGAAGCGGCCGGACTCCAGGCCGCCAGGCAGTGCTCCGTGGAGCACATCCACGTGTCCCCCTCTGTGCTGCACACAGGTGCTTTTTCTAATTACTTAAGGAGAAGCGATTGCAAAGCCACTCGATACAAATCCCTTAAGCTGCTGTTGATGGTGACTCTGGGGAGGCTGCGGCCGGGCCAGGAATCTGAAACACGGGCACCATCTGTGCTCCCGCCACTGCGAAGCCAAATTGTACCGCCAGCCCTCCTCTCCTGCACAATTTTTCATTAAATGAATTGCGTTTGCTGGGAATCGCTTGTCCACACATGGTCCCTCCTGCTCAGCGTGGCGAGGTTATCGCTGTCCCCGAGTCCGAGCTCCCGGTTCCAGCCCTGGGAGGGGTGGGGGGTGGGGCCCGGGTCCGCAGGAGATTCCTCTGGAAGTTTCCCGAAGCCCCTCCTGCAGCCCCACGGCGCCCACCTCAGATCGGGGGTCCTCCACGTTCCCTGCTTCCGGGGCAGATCGAGGACCCTTGGAAGGGGAGGCAGTTGGCTCTCTTCCTTCTCGCCGTCGTTTCCGTTGAGAAAGCGGCGGTGACGGCGACACGGTTGTAAAGGGAGGGCGAGATGTGTGTTTAAAATGGAAATAGGTTTTAAGCCACGGTTTCGGAAACGGGCTTCTCCTAAGCCCGTTCATTTGACAGGGGGGCAGAAAGGGGCAGGAGTTGAGAGTCCGAGCCACAGGGGCTGCGGTGGATGTGCAGGTGTCCCTGGGCACGTATGTCCCCGAAGGGTGGCTGCAAGTGCAGCACCCCAGGGTCACGTCCCCCCCCCCCTCCCCGAGGTGCCCTAGGCTGCCTGCTGCGGGGGCTGGTTCATCTTCAGAGTCTAGACCAGTGGGCCGCACACCAGGGCCTGTGCCACACCCTGCCCTTCGCCTGTTTTCCTAAATCAAGTTTTATGGGTGTGAAGCCACCTCTGTCCACTTACGTGCTCATCTGTGACGCTCCTGAGCTCCAGCAGCAGAGTTGAGAGGTTGTGGCGGAGACGGGGCAGTCCACAAAGCTGAAGGTGCTCACTGCCTGGCCCTCTGCCGGCTCTGCCCTAGACCAGTGTCCCCTCCGTTTCTCTCCCTTGTGGCAGTAGGATGATTTTCCAGCCCCATCTCGGTCTCATCCCGCAGGTAAGTAGGAAGACCAGGGCTGCCTGGATTCCTCCTCTGCTGACTGAGGAGGGTCATTGGCTCACTGGGCAGAGCCCAGCTTCCAGAATCTTCGGCTGGCTTTTCTGGCCAATGACTCCCCGAGGTGTTAAGTGTCCCCGGGACACCTGCGTGCCTCCCGCACGGTGCCCAGCCCCGGGGCTTATGCTGTGACCTGGAGGAGAGAGAGGCTCCAGGAACATGTGGCCTGTGGGAGTCGTTCAGGGCCCAAGAGGGACGGGTCTAGACAGCAGAGGAGGGGGCAAAAGGGACACCATTTCAGCCTGTCTTTGCCACACTCGTTTGCCCCAGCGCTCGAAGCTCCCAGACACAAAGGACCCTCCGGCCCAGGCAGCGTTCCTCCAGGCCGCCCGGCACACCGTGCCAGCCCCCTTCCTCAGCCGGTGCTCTGTGTCCGAGGTCTCGCCACCCCGGGGCCGGCTGCTGAGCCTCCGGGTCCTGGCTTCCTCTCCCCAAACCCACGAGGCAGGGATCGGGACCGGCCTGTGTGCGTCCTTGGGCACCCTGTACCTGCTCGGAACCACTTGTGTTTCCTTTTTTGCTCTCGGCCTTTTGGGGCTGACAGCTCTTCCCTCCTCCTTCCTAACCTTCGGAGTTGCTGCTGTTAGGAAGCATTTCTCGTGCATTTTTACCCATTTGGGGGCTCGTGTGTCCGACAGGAGGGAGATTTTGCTTAAAGCCGACACCTGGGCGGCCGGAAAGTGGACCCCCGTGGCCTCGGGCTCCTGAGCTGCGTCTCTATGCCTGCTGATCCCGAGGCCCCCACAAAGGGTCTGCTGTCCTGTCCCTGGACCGTGTGCTGGGCGGTGGCCGTGACCCCACAGGGGCGGGCCAGGGGCTCGCACTGGAGGGCACGGCTTCCGCCCGGGACAGAAAGGTACCGTTTTGTGTCTGAAGGTAGCAGTTCTAGAGAGGAGAGGGCCCAGGCCGTTGTCACCCCGCCTTTGTTCAGCTCGCTGGCCACGGGCTCAGCGGGTCTCCCCTCCCCGCCCCCCAACAGTGCACGTGCCGGAAGGACATGGTCAAGATCTCCATGGACGTCTTCGTGCGCATCCTGCAGCCAGAGCGGTACGAGCTGTGGAAGCAAGGCAAGGACCTCACGGTGCTGGACCACACCCGGCCCACAGCCCTGAGCAGCCCCGAGCTGAGCACCTGGAGCGCCTCCCGGGCCTCACTCAAGGCCAAGCTCCTGCGCAGGTGAGTCACCGGCGGCCCGAGCCGCTGCACCTGCCTGGCTCTGGTGATGACCGTAAGTGACTCCCACTCTCACTCTTTACCGGGCTGCTGGCCGCAGACTGTCCCTGACCTCCCTTCTCCCCTCCTCCCTCCCTTCTCCCCTCCTCCCTCCCTTCTCCCCTCCTCCCCCTCCTCCCCTCCTCCCAGCCTCCTCCCCTCCTCCCTCTCTCCTCCCTCCCTCCTCCCCTCTTCCTCCCCTCCCCCTCTTCCCTCCCCCTCCTCCTCTTCCCTCCCTCCTCCCCTCCTCTCCCCTCCTCCTCCTCC